CTTTTTCAAATGTATTTGCCCAATAACAGTAAGTATTCCTCCTCAGTATGGGGTGTCCTGCTCCTTTGGCACCAACAGGGAAAAACGGCTGCACAGTGCGATTTCCTGATTAAGCTACCTGTAAACTGTAGCCTTCTTGGACTATTTGTTCGGCAGGGTTGCTGGCTTTTTTACAGTTTCAACTGCAGGGCCCGAAGGAGACCCATGTTAGAAATGGCTGGTTTATAGCAACATTATCTCATGCAGCATCAGAGACCTTCAGATGTGAAACCCTTGTCCAGTTTGTTTCACACTGGTGGCTATAGCAGATAAAGCATTATCACTAATGCATTATCCAAGATATTATTTTAACATCCCAGAGGAAAAACAGGCTGGAAATTCAATTACCTATTGCCACAAGTCACTCTGTTACACCATGACAACAGAAAAGAGCTCCAGAACACAAAACTTATCAAGAAATGAGAAACGCAGTAGGAGCTGAATCTAACTATAAATTCTGACATATCTTCACTAGTAATGATTAATGACTAAGAAAAAGAAAAGGGAGGCCTCATGCAAAAACGCCAACCTGAACTGACATTAAGACATGTAGCTATTTTAAATATTTTCCCTTCTAATTACGTGTTTCTTACTACTGTAAAATACTCAACATACAAAACCAGATTGGCTCAAGTGCCTGTCTCAAAAGCAGCAGGCAGTTAAATAAGCTCTGAAAAGCTAATTCAAATGCCAAAAGTAAAACAGCACTGCTGTTTCTTGCAAAGAAAATCCAAATAAAGCTCATTTACTTCTCTTGTGAATATAAGGCAGAGGTATTAACAGCACAGCAGAGTTGTTCTACAATAATACATGAACAAGGAGACTGAATGCCCACATCTGCAGTCCCTACTGCAGAAGCCAAGAGTTTTACTTACATTTCAGTGGGAGCACAACTCAAATGACTTGTGGAAAGGACTGTGGCCGCACGAACTCAGCTTGCTCACCATTACAAGATTAATCTCCAAAAGAGAGATCTCAAGAGTGCACTAGGAAATAGCATTCAGGATATGCCACTTTGCTCACTACTTTCAAAGGACAAAAATTACTTCTCCTGGGCAAAATGTCTCTTTTTAAGACAGCTTTACAACTAATGCATGGCCCTTCACATTCTACATTACCCAAGTTTCACTGTTCAAGTGCAAAAAATGTTAGTTTTAGAATTTCCTCCTTTTATTGACAGGTGTAAATGAGAGGTTTGCAAGCCAGAGAGCATATCTGGACAAAGCTATGCATGCAGCAGTAAAGACTGTTTGTTAGAGCTCCGTGGGTCCACATAGCAGTGGGTGTTATATCAGCACCATGACATCAGCAGGAGGCTAAATGCTTGTGGTATAAAACATACCGACGTTATTAGCATGATACCAGCATGATGACCTGCTCTGCACACCACTGCTCAACCCACCCTGATTGAGTGCTGCTTTACCTTCTCCCTCCCAGCCTGGCTCCCGAGGAAGAATGGTGTCTGTGCAGGAGGGGGCTGTGGCTCTCCTCCTGCTCTCCAGGAAAGCTGCCTACACAAACCAAAGCTGCTGAGCACACAAATTCAGGGGGTGTTTAGCGTTTATGGAGGCAAGTTAGGGAGAGTTTGGGTCATGCCAAGGGTGCCAGCTAGGACTGGTTTCAGCAAGGCCACATCTGGTAAAAAGCAAGTGCCCATTCCTTAATGCCACTGACATCTTGTACAAAAAGCTTAATAGCGTATTGATATTTGGGGAAATAAAGGTATCCTTTTCGCTGCCAGCTATCGTGCAAGATCAAAATAGCATCATTTGTCACTGGTTCAATGCCACGTAACACATCTGGAAGCAGGGTGTTGGCGGTGTTTGTGTTATGCTCTCAGCAGGAGACAATTTGCTGGTAGAGATCATGACAGCACTGCTGGATATGAAAACACCCAAAAAAGTGTCCATGACTGGCAACTTTTAGTTTGCAACATATGTCAAAGTCTTGTCTGTGATGTGGCACAACTAGCTATCGTATGATGTAAGGGCAACAGCGCATATTTTAACATACAATTGTCTGGGAGAATTTAATTTTGCTCCCCATTGCGAGACACATTACGTGGCAGCCACGTCCTGAAAAGCGCTCTAGTCCCCTTAAACCAGTACTGTGAGCTGAAAGAGCTTCTCCCAAGGCAGGATGCACTGGGCAGAAATTTCCAGAAGTGAACTGTAAATGGAAAACCCTTAAACAAACATAAATATTAACCAAACTGGATGCAGAATTACTAGTTTGGGTTGGGCCTCCTCAGAGTAATGAAGCAATTCCCTTAGAAATGCCTCTATACATTCAGAGCCTGCACTTAAGGCGGATTAGCCATGTTGTCATCTTATGCGAATACCAGTCTTTGCTTGGGAAAATGAATTAAGACCACACCAAAATTACTCCAGTGAAGAGTTCTCAACAGAATTCATGACCTCAGGGATGCTGTTATAACAGCAAAAGGAACCAGCAAAATACAGACTGGTTTACCAATGCTGTTTTACTGCAGAGCAAAAATATGGTTTATGAAAGTGAAACACACCAAGGAAATACTTTGCTCAGACCCCAGCACGGTGATGCAGTTCCTCAAGAAAAGAAAGTCCTCCTTCATCCCTTTCAACACGGAGCTTAGGAAAAAATCACATCTGATGTGAGTCATCTTCTCATTCAGACATGAATTCAGTTTATCCTTGCTGGAAGGATGATCTAACCCTTACCTTCTCCAGACTTTCTCAACAGATGATCCAGGCACAGGGGTAGAGAGAAGCTCAGTGACAGAGGTGAAAAGAGGAAGGAAAAATATACACAAACACACAGAAAAGCGATAATTCTGGAGCTTTCCTCCAGGAAACCATGTGCCACTGCATGGCAACAAAAATAACCCAGGGGTTCCCTCTCTGCTCCGGCTCCCTGTGAGGAGCCACTTTAAAGCTTTTAGAACATTTGCTGAGTTTGAGAGAAATGGTTTTTGTTTAACTTCAGCTACTTCAGAAATGCCTGGGGCCTGAAGAAACATATTTTTGGATTGCTCTTAAAGAACAGACTGAACTTTGAAGTTTGGGGAATTTTTCTCAGATCAAATGTTAAATTAATAAACACCAACATGACAAATTGGTCTGAGTACTGGGGAAAAAATTAACAATCACTAAAAGTCTTCTTGGATTAATTAATTGTGGCACATTGTTACTTATTCGAATATGTTGATAGGTCTGGCGCTTCAAGTCTTACAAGCCATGCTGCAGAATGTGTTTTTGCATCCCAACTAAGCATGTTCAATATTATTGTCCATTTGCCCCTACGAAATAAAAAATATCATCACCATTGAATAAATTTCAGTTTGGGTAACGGTGAGATCATGAATAACTAGTTTACTTATAGATCATTGAAGTTTAAGAAATATGCATAGAAATTCAAAGCACCTGGAATCTAAATTACTTCTTTGTACACAGCTTCTTTATGTCAGAAGTTTCATCAATGCCACTGAATTTACCCTGCACTTTCTTGTTAATTGAGGTGCTCGACTAAAGTGTCCCATGTGACCCATTTATTCTTCACTGTATTGCAAGAAATGGCTGGCTAAGGAAACCTTGACTCCATGGGAAGTCATGGGTCAGTCAGCTGCAAGCCACACACAGACTATTAATTACAGCTACGTGGTTGGAGAATCATCTGCTAACACTGTACAAACAGGAACAGTATCATGCCACATCCACATTTTTGTATTTTTGCCTCAATTTTCCTCACCCTACTTTCAGAAGAAAAAACATTGATTCATTCTTAATAGATGCCATATTAAGTACTTAAAAAGCAATAATGTAAGGCAACCTTCCTCTATAAATACTGGTAAACAACAGTTCACTCACCACTGTAGTTCCTTGCCACCCCAGTGAAGTATGGAGGGGGAACTATTCAAGATACCTTCCTATAAATTTCAGGGACATTTTTTCAGGGATCTCAGAACTGCAATGCTTCAGCAGCCCACAAGTACACCTACCAAGGACCACAGTAACAAGTTTGCTTCTCACAAGGTAAAAAAAAGCACACGCCCTCCAGATTCTGGTGTATTCTCATTAATGCAAGCCAAGCTAATTGTACCAAGACATTCCTACTGCAGGATAGAACTGAGATGGGATAGTTCCTGCGGAGTTTATCCCTGTGGAGTCCAACACCAGAATCACCTCCCTGAAAAACGTGGTCCCTGCACAGGGCCAGATTCTCAGCAGGCACTGAGGGACAGGGTGCTTTGATTAACGCCACAAGCTCCTGAACCAGAACATCAGTGCCCTGAGGAGGATTCCAACAAACATCTGTTACCATTAAAAATCACTAGTTGAGATCTACACCCAGAGAGGGCCTGGGCTGAGGGATTACATAGTTCCTCTCTGAGGTTTAAACAGCACACAGATTTGAATGGTAGTGGAGCAGCATTTAAGGAAATCAGCTTCAGAATCAGGAATAAGGAATGTGAAGCTATTCATTTAGTAGTTTTTCTAATGCTTCTCCATTTAATATTTGCAAATTTAATATTTACACATGCAAGCCTTACAAAATTATGTTACAAGGAATAGCTTCTGTACTTCTCATAATAAGCAAACAACCAAAAATACATGGTATGTATAGCAGGGTTTTACAGCTGGGATCCTATAATACTTCTTAGAGCCACTTATCTAAGATCTAGTATCTATAAAAAGCCTGTTTGCTATTTACACAGGTGTCTTAGAGCATTATATAATCATGTAGCAGATCAACATAGCCTTCAGATCTCAAAGTATTATAAAAGTACATCAGGACCATGACAGAGGGGAAGTGTTGGTTACCATTTGACACTGGCCTTTTATTCCTTTCAGAAGTTCACACAGACATGTGTGATAGATGTGAAGATAGATAGATGTCTTTAGTTCTTCATGAGGATAAGGCAAAGAAATCACATCTTTTCCTAACCCTGTTTGCCTAGATTTTTTTAACTGTAGAGTCATGCTGGCTGCTCACATAAATGTTTAAATTTTGCCACTCTTATGTAAGCTGAGTAGTTCCGCTAAACTTGGTAATAGATCTCCTACAGTAAGGTTCACAAGCCAAGGGCCTTACAAGAGCTCTACTTTCAAGAGTCAGGCTTCAAAAGTAAAGCCATAGTAACTTAAAGTATTCAAAATATACCCCACCAAGAAGGACAATAAGACACGAGAGGTGACAGAGTCTACACAAAGGCATAGATGTTTCCACATATTCTCTAACCACAGAGAGGATCAGAAACTACATTACAAATTAAAGCAGATTCTGTGATGAAAATGCCCTCCAGAAAAGGCATATATCATCCCTTAAGAAAAAAAAAAAGTAATGTATTATCCATAAAATCCTCCACAATGGCTAATCTCTCATTTCAGTCAGCCAAATCCTGAAGACACAGTTTGGATCTTAACAAGGTAACAACAAAATCCACTGGAATGTAAGAACAAGGGACATATTCAGTTCCTATTACATCTGACTTCATTAGAGCTTATTCTGCTTTTAATCTGCCATAATAAAGACCTTACATTTCATCTTAGCATTTTACATGTTCATATAGAAAGACATGTTGCATGCAAATGACATGGCAAAGGCAACACTAGTACATCAGACCTTGTACTTACTATGAATGAATTACGTTCTCCATTCATGAAGTGCTGTCATTCTTTTGCAAAGCATATGTTATGCAGGATCTACACATACTGCCTTGTTACAGGATACAACATCAAAATGAAGAAAGTTCCACTTCACATTCCCTAGGCTGTGTAAAGCTTCTGCTTATGCCAAGATGTTGCACCCTCTCCCATAATTTTTAGCAGATTCCCATATATATTAGAAGGCTGTAGCAAAAAAAAATAAATGCTCATCTATAATGCAATTCACATCATAATACTTTTACAAATTTAAAAACATCGCCTATTTGGAGGTACAAGCATGTCGTTATGCACAGAGGATCACCAGAGGTTATAGCTAACAAGCATTCCATATAATGCCTGTAACTACCAAGAAGCTGCTCCCAGGCTATCACTGGCATTTGCCTAGTTGTACATATATAAATAAAATGGTAATATGGCTTCAACCGGACATAATATCTAACTGAAGTAACCATATGCCTGCTTAAGAACTACAGCAACACTGACTCTTAGATGTATTTGTTTGACAAATCTTGCACTGTTTGTTTTCTTTCTAATGGGTTTGTTTTTGTGGTGGTTTTTGTGTTTTGGGTTGGGTTTTTTGGTTTTGGTTTTGCATTTTATTTTAGTTTTGTTTGTTGGTTTATTTTGGGTTTAGTTTTGTTTTTTTTTTTTGAGCTTTTTCTTTGGTTATGGTTTTACTTCTAGTTCACTCAGTCTTCAAACTTGATTTACTTACAGGCTCTTTACCCACAAATGTACTAGATAAGATGAAAGTATCAGCAAGGGAATACTTCTGTCCAGAAAGTACAGATACAGAAATACACAGCTTCTCAATTTTAAATGAATGTTAATCAACACCGGTGAAGACTCTAACAGAGTATTTACCCACCATAACTTGGGCTTTTCCCCATTTTCTTCAGATACTTCACATCTTCAGATAGTTCATGTCTTGCTGAGTAGCAACTTTCTTTTTCATGCTGTGAATCCTGTCGCCACAAGGAAAGCAGAAAAACACAGCTGAACAGCATTTTACAGCATCAACGACCTCAATCTCCCCACCCCGAGTAACAGCCAGTTCAAGTTTACTTAGGGATTACCCTTTACTCTTCCAAGGCTATGATTTACAAAGCAAAGAGATACCTGAGAAGACCTAAAACTATTTGCCTACCAAGCATTAGCTCTTCTGAACTCAATAGTCATGGAAAGTAAAACCCAGCCCGTACTTGAGAAAAGCTGTGTGAAGATGCAATTCTCCTCATGAAAAACACAAGGGAAACCTACCAGGAAAGGAATTTGCTTCCTGGGTAGAAAGAAGAGGCAGAAAGCAGCAGCAAACATTAATGACTAGCAAGCTGCAGCTCCTGCACTCTGCTAATTAACTACAGGGGAGAAGCAGAAGGACAGCCTGGGCCGTGGGTGGTTTCCGAAAACGGTCCTTGCAATGTAACCTGTCACTGAGGACCTGGGAGTCAGCGGAGGAACTGCGCAGAGATTATCATCTTGTATTGTGGGGCCCGCTTCCTTTGCTCATGGCATGCCTCCCTGAGAGGGGCTTTAAAGAAAATATATGTTAAAAAAAAAATAAAAATTTGGAATGGGCTGCTTTATAAAAACAAAACAAACCCGAACGGAACTGTGAGCCACGCTATCAACTCCACACTGCAGTTTGCATTTTTTAAATTCCTTGCAATGGAATAAATCAGCAATGGGTCAAACCGGTTCAGAAAGTGTTTGAATAACTGCCCATGGAGTGCCCAGGGGTTCTCCGTCAGCTGAGTATTTTGACTGCTGCTGTTCAACTGCCATTTGAGAAAGCAGGACTGCTGGGAAAGACAACACAACACAAACCAACACTGGCTATCAAAGCACACAGTGTACCAATATTCACACTGCACAGTCCAGGTTTCAGAGATGCTACCGAAAGCAGCTTTACATCGCACTGCTCCATGATGCTCCTAGCTAGCAATGTGCAATACAGCCAGAAGTAAGAGGTCTTCAAGAAGTTGAAATAGGCCAAAATACCTAATTTTATCTCTGTAATAGAAGCAGTAATTGACAAATAGTTATTTTACATTTATAAAATATATGATGAGGAACATACCACATGCATTCTAGACTTTCTGTCTGCATTGGAAATCAACTGGGAAATTAGGAGGTATGGCGTAGAAACATCACTACGAATATACTGTATTACTGCTTTTGCAGCTGCAGTCCCAGAATTTGTTTCACAATAATTCAGTTACCCATGTTTAAATAACCAGCCACCAGAAGAAAGGCTGATATATTTCATATGCATTCTCTTTGAGCAGGGGGGCCTTCACGTCTGGTCGAAAAATGTCAGGCTCATATGACACCACCAGAGTCAGGAGAGATGCCTAACCATAACTAAAAGCAGAATTTGGCCAACACAATTGGAAAATACCGGCAGAGTATATACAAATGCACACACGCAATCTCATATAAGAGCAGAGCATGAGACAGATTGGATTTTTTTAGTTACACCTTTAAAGACAAAGAAATTTCATGTACAACCCCCTCACCGTGCTATTACATGGTTCATTTATCCCACTGCAGCATAAACAGACAGACCAGAGCCTGTAGTAGGGGAGAAGGCGAGAGAGTTTTTCTTTTTTTCCCCCCTTGACTATTTTCAGTAGTTTGAAGAGCAAAAGAACAGATCTGGCCTGCCTTCCAAACCAACTTCAATAATAGATAAGCCATTTTAAGACTACCATAGTCAGCAAGTATGCACATAAGCTGTACATGAATATATTTATCTGTACTTTTAATAGAGCTTATTTTTTTCCCCTTTGTTTTCCTAGTTTCCTTTAGCATACAGTCTAGAAATAAAAAGTGAACGTCTCTCCTGATTCTGCAAAACCACCCTTTCACAATGGATCTCTTAGCGGTTTAGGTATTATTTCTCAAGAATCCTTACCCAAAGGAAAACCGTCTTTCTGTCAGCTTCAGTACCGATTTGTACAAGTTTTCGTAAGATCATTCTTGTCAAACACATCCTACAGAAAGGAAGGATTTTAGCTTGCTGCATGCAGTGCCTGACTCGAAGCTGCCATTCAAGTTTCTTGCCTCTTCCTGGTACACATCCTGTTAACACCTTCGTATACACTTCAGTATTTTGCAAAAACAGGGTGAAAAGGGGTAATGGCAAAGCAAACGCAAAGATTTGACGAAATTACTAAAAATACAAGATCCTAAACCAGGGAATAACAGCATTTTTAACAAAATTAAAAAGATTGATAAACTTTGCTGCAAATTAAAAACAATTCTGTTGTATCTGAGCCCATAATGATTATTTTGAATACAGATATTTACTGCTGCCAATAAAGAAATTTTTTGGTAACTCTTCTGTTATTGGGAAGAGCTTGAATATAATCCAGTCCAAAAAAAATGCTGACTTTCCTAAATAGGGGCTGTGTTTTTGCAATAAAGAATACTGGTCAATATACAAGTGAAGGAAAACTGAACCAGATGTCAGTAATAGGACCACAGAACGTTGCATTTGCCCAGAATCGCTATTTTAAACACACGATGTTGGTCTGCTGGTTTGTGGGATAATGCATTCTTGGCAGCCAGAAGGAGTTTCGATATGTTAGAAGGTTATCCTTAAGCAAAAAGAGAATTAAAAAAAAAAAAGAAGAAAAGAAGCAGAAGAGAGGTAAAGAAAGGCCACTAATTCATCAAGCTCCCCATAGAAGAAAACTATGACTTACTCAGGAAATCAGTTCAAAAAAAAGGCAGTCTGAAAACAGAAGGCTGGGGGTTTTGACATTAATGTTCATTTTCTGCATTACTTCCTTACTACTACTACCTCATTGTACTTTGCCTTTTTAAGGTTTCTTCCCTACATACACACTCAGTTTCTGGACAAGAAGCCTAAGGAAAAAAAAACAGAGGCCTTTTTCTTGCAGCTCCCGTGCAGTCAAGTCCGATGGGCAGGGGAATCATCTCCCACACGACCGCACGCACAACCCAAACCCACACAACCTGGTCCCAAAATCCTTTTGCATTGGAAACCTTTGCTCACACCAGGATCCTGCTGCCATCACTGGGAGGAAGCTGTTCAAAGGATCAGGCCCTACTGTCCCAGAATCACTACAAACAGCTCTGGAAGCTACATGCACACAAATAACATTAACCCAGGTCCCTATCCATGGCTAATTAAGTACTTACCCATCTCTAAAATGCTTTTTTAGTTCAAACTCACAGGGATTTGGGACTGGGGATTTTTTTTCTCCTTCTATGTAAGAAGTAGTTAGATCTGTATGCCTTCTTAATGCAGAAATGAAACTTCAAGATGTCCTTGTATGCTTGCCGAACAATCACTTCCCCGTTTTACAACGTAGTACATTTAAGAAACCAACTCTGTTCGTCATTTTAACAAACCCTTATCTGAAAGATAATTAAAACCACTTCCCAATATACAACCAAAGTTTTATTTTTATAGTCTATCTTCCATTATGGCATAATCCTTTCTTTTTTTTTTTTAAACCAGTGAAATATACAAATCACTCAAGACAGAAATATGTACATTAAATGTACAGAACAGAGAAAAGGACATAGGAGATTTACATATCTGAATGACAAGTAAAATATTTTACATTAAATAGTGTTTTAATAGCTGGGATCACGAGATTCAGTTCTGCTCAGACCAAAGTCACTAAAAAAGAACATGAGGTGATTCACCAAATGAATGAAAAAATGATCATGGTTTTTGTACAATAAAAACCAAAGTGACATATTCAATGAATTAGTGCTTTATTTATTTATCTTAAAGATAGTCTTTGCAAACATCTGAAGATGAGGGGTAAATATGTCCTTGTACAATAAATTAAGAGCAATAAAGCGCCATTTAAGAAGCTGATAAATGATCAAGATGAACTTAATGATACAGCTTAAAGGCTTGTGAAAAGTCAAGGCTTTAGTACAACTAGGCTAAAGTGAAAGATTTTCCTCACTTGGTATTTGAAAAACCGTTTTCTTTAACTTGTTGGATGGGAGCGAGTTGGAAAGAGGCATCTGAACCAATGATGAAATCCTGTATAACTACACAGTATTGGGGGAACGCATATTATTCGACAAACAACAATTTCCATTTCAAAAACTGAAAAGCAAGGGCCACATGCAGCACATTTTGGAGTTGGAAGGTGTCTCCTTTCAGCAACAATCAATAATGCCCTTAAATGTGAGACTGGAATCGAAGTGATCTCCAGACCAGTATCAATTCAAGTGCAGGGTGCTGCCTCTACCAACTGCCCAAGACAGTCGTGAAGCTGGGAAGAGGCTTAATTCTTTGTGACTATCCTTAAAACTTTTGAATGATAAAAGCTTTAAAGCTTAAAAATAGAAACACCGAAAGGTTAGAATCAATCTAGTAAACTTAAGAGAACTGAAAAACAGAATGGGGGATGAACCACCCCTGCAATTTAGACATTTTATTATTTCTTAAATCATTAAAATATATATGTACAAAAAGCTTTGAAATATCAGACACCAGCAGACCAGTTCTCCCATATATATGTAACTGCTCAAGTATAGTCTGAACAGTTGTAGTGTATATCTGCAATATATTATCTAAAGCATGTGTATTAAAGACATAGGATGATAAATTTGGTATTGCTGCAACATTTCATTGAACTATAATAGTCAGTTAATGTTATTAAATATGAAACTATTGTCTCCTTGAGTGAAAGCGTTCCCAAAATCTGCGAAAAAAATATATAAAAATCAATCATTCCAAGAGTGGATATCTAATGATTTATTTTCTCACATAAAATTAGAGGAGTTATTTGTCAAGCTGTGTTTTGAAAGACAGCCAGCTATTACACCATTTTTAAGGCATTTTCAAATTTGGGGAATTCTGTTTTCTATGGGCTTTCCAAGCTGGGAGACCAAAAACTGCTTGCAAGCATTGCAGCTCCCCTCCGTCCGGCCACAGTGCCCCATGCAGTCTGCATCTTGGCTCTCTAAACCCTCAGCAGGAGTGAAGCACTGCTCTGTAAGATGAGACACTTGAACGTCACAATTAGCTAATAAGGCCAAATCCTGCCTGGAAGAATATCTTCATTATTCATCAAGGCAGATTTTTTTTCCTCTTTTTTTTGGTCTTGTTAGGTTCTGGAACCAGACATGGTGACTCAGGAATAGCGCAGTTGAAGCCTCTATGATCCTTTGCTCTTTACCCTTCGATGACATTGCATATTCAAGTGGGCACATTCAGATATGCAACTGACAACGTACTTTGTGATGAATATACCCCCTTATTTACAGAGCCCTAAATGTACTTAACAGCTTTATATGCCCTATTCTGATAACTTCTAGTGTCTGAAACTAGAAGTCATGGACAGCTCTGTGTATTCCTCACATCCGTAAGTATTGTTCTAACATCCCAAGCACATTACATGGTTGCTCTGCTACTGCACATGTATTACGTCCCACGGGACTAAATGGGGATATGTTGGATTTTCCCCTCAAACTACTCTAGTGTTTTTTAAGAAAAGTTTGTTTTGTTTTTGTTTTTTTTTTTACTTTGTAAAATAAATATTCTCACGTTCTTCCCCATTATTGCCAAAAATATAAGCCACACACAGTCCTGGGATGGACGCAGAGAGGGTTTCCAGGCACTTCTCTTTGCAACCTTTATATTTTTTCTTTTTTCCTTCCCCCTGCCTTTTTTTTTTCTCTTTTTTCTTTTTTTTTTTTAATTTTTTTTTAAAAGAAGACGACAACTCATTGGACTCTATAAATAAATTGGAGATAGTCCTGTAGAAAGGGAGAGGGGCCTGCACCCCTTGCTGGCAGGTAGCTGCAGTTCCTTCCACCTCGTCTGTCCCCTATTTGCACACAAATTGGTCCACGATCTCTGTGCACAACTTGCATTTCACATAGCAGCACCAGTGGAACTTGCAGTGGCAGCGCTCTCGCTGCACCGTCTTGAACTGGTCATACCCCCGGCCGCAGCACATGAGTTCACAGCCATCCATGCCCTCCGAGGTCTTATTGCAAAGGCGGCCCTGGGTGCCCAGGGACCCAGTGCTCTCATTGCGCACACAGTAGTCAGGGCTGGGATCGATGTAGACCAGGTCATGGATGGTGGGTGCGTTGAAGCGGCTGTTCACTTGCACCAGCTTGCCCCGGCTGTTGAGTTTCATGGCAGCAGCGCTATCGTATTTCTCCTTCAGGGCATCGCCTACCTTGCGGAAATCGGCAAGCTGCAGCCAACAGGTCTTCAGGCTACAGGAACCAGAGACACCGTGGCACTTGCAGGCCACGTCAGCCAGGTTGTACACAGTCTGGAGAAGCCAGGGAGAGAGAGCAAAAATGATGATGAAAGATTAGCATGGCTGTGAATGCATTTATTCCCCTCATTTCCTTCCCTCTGTCACATTCCCTCTCGCCTCTCCACAATATTCACCTTAGCATCCTCTTCCCTCCCGCAATATATACTACTGGGAAGGGTGAGAGAGCCAACATGTGTGCACCCCCCGAACCCTGTTAGCTAGGAGGAGGAGGGGAGTGCTCTCACCATCCTCTCCCCATCACAGAGACAGCAGCCACAGCACACAGAGCCCAGAGAGCAGCGTCAGGCTGCAGTCAAGTTTGAGGAATTCAGTCTCAAGCCAGCGAAGGATTTTACTGTTTCATTGAGAAATGTAAAACATCCCTTTATTTTCTGAGTTATTCTCTCTATTGATCTCCAGTTTAAGGCTGCAATTAGGGAAAGAGTTAAGATTCCTCTTGCTTCTGGCTCAGCTGCAGCTGATTGTCTACCCTTGGCTCAGCATCCTCCTCCTATCCCAAATACTGCTCTGCAAAAGAGACTTCATCCAAGAAGAAACCCCCAAACACCTATGGGTGGGAGACAGAGCTACATAGCAATATCCTCTTTACAAAGCTTTGGCAGGGAAGTATCAGTCACTTGCCCTGTACAAACAGAAATAAAAGCCAGTGTTGACGCTGCCTCAAAAATCCTGGGGTCTGACACATTAGATGATACTGTAGACAACTTCCACCCAGCAGGTACAGAGTATCAATGCTGCCAAAGGGCACTGCAAAGGTGAAGCTGAGGAAGGAAAAAACTGTTCGAGCCTCTCCATAAGCAACTGTGAAAGTGTCATTTTTCTTCTTGCTAATAGTAAATTGGCCTGTCCATTGCTTTCAGACATCCTCCTCTCACATTTAAATACTATTAATTTTCAATTATCTTTCATCCTTCTTCACCTTAGAACACAAGTGTAAAGTCTCCAGCCGACTATTTCTGGCACTTCAAGCTCTAGGCAAATAATGATTTTGGCTCTTCATATTCAGACTATTAAAAAAAGAGAAAGCTTACACCCATTCATTTAAGGTATTTTCAAGATTAAAGAAACCATAAAGACATGTTTAACCACAGAAGACTGTGTTTTCTAATAGTATGGAGGAGCTTTTCACATCCTTTTAAAGCAGGGATAAAAAAACTCAGAACAATTCTGCGGCACAATTCCAGCCTGGGAAGGCCAGTGTGTCCCTCTTCCTTCCAACGCACACTGCCCTGGTTGGAAATACAAACCAATGAAAAGCTGTTCAGAGAATCCACAGCAAGAGGGAACTTTCAATGAAACAATATAGAGGGAAACACAACACACTCTGGTCCCAATCCTCACCCATGGGGAAGGAAACTGGGCTGTCAGACAACACAAATTGATGAACTCCCCACCCACCTACACCCTGTATTTGCTGTTTTCTTGGTTTAATGCATTGAAATGGACACAAGGCTTGGTGGCCATCTTCCCCCGAAAGGAGGGATGGGGGCAGAGGGAGGTGCTATTTCACAGCCACTTACTCTTCTCCCGGCCTCGTTGTTGTGCAGGTTCATCATGATGCGGGCGCTCTCGTAGGAGCCTCTCTGGTAAACCCTCTCGCGCTCCCGGGCATCAACAAACTCCTTGGCGAAGCGGTACCCATACTCGATGTTATCCCCGCAGCCGCCCCAAAGCCAGTCCCGGGGCAAGTCCTTGGGCCGCGCTGCTCGGCTGCAGCCGCAGGAGGAGAGCTCACCCTCCCGGCAGGCACGGCTCATGGCGTTGACCACCCCAGCTGCGCTCACCGCGTAGGTGAACGCCGTCTCCCGGCTGCCTGCACAGAAAGACAGCGGCGTTAGGGGAGAGCCTACCACTCACTCCCTGCCTGCTGCTGAGCCGTGAGGGTGAAGGCTGAACAGGAGCCACCAAAATTCATCTGCCTATTGAAAGGTAGAGTAACCCTGAACCGCGTTCCTCAAAAGGTCTAAAAACCAAGTGAAACCAATCCACCATAGCACACAAGGTGTTTGTGAAGAGCAGGAGTCGCTTCTCATTCATGGTTGGATGACGGAGCAGGGAGGAAGGAGGTGAATTGGGTCTGGAGCACAATGCCAGCTGGGCTGAAGCAACGGTGCCTGCGTGTGAGGGGCAGAAAGGGAAACAGACTCTGTCTTTCAGAAAAAAGAGATGTTAAATACAACTTTTAAAAGTCTGGTTCTTAAATTACTACTTCTCAAACATGATTTATGCACTTCACCCACTTGTTCCAATTTATTTAAAGTTATAGCATTTTACAAAGCCTCCTGGTATCAAAGGAAATGCATAGCAGAAGAACACGTAACTTTCCACCCTACTCATAAGCCAGGCACTTCTGTAGGAGGCTATTTAAAACTAACAACAACCTGTGCTGCTTAGTATCCACCATTCCAGCACATGTGAATATGGCAAGTGAGTCCATGGGCAATCATCTTTACAAATTACAGGGAAGGAAAAAACCTTGGCACGAGGCAGCCTTGAAGGTTTTCCCCTGCATCTGGTGCCCTTAAATGGAAATTGAAAACCTCGAGTTTCAAACTTTCAGAAGAAAACATCACAATACCCACAGCATAAGACATGGCCACGTACCATCCTCTTGACAAAACCTAATCCCACCTTCATTCAGGGCCCAACTTCCCCTATTGCTTTTCCAAGGGTGCTACAAGTTCTGACTACAACAAGAAAAGCTTTCACAGAAGCAAAAAACAAAACACAAAACTTGCACCAGAGAGCTCACTTGAAGTTTGTTTTTCATCTTAAGAGACAGCATCCCACTGGGTCTTTTCCAAGATTCCCAGAATGATGGAGAACAGACTAAATATTTCTTTTTTTTTAAATTATACAAGTTAAGCTTTATTCCTATCTTTAGTCCAATCAATAGATCAAGCTAGTTTTTAATCTTGATTTTACAAGATTTTTCTTAGGGAACAGCATGGACCCTTATAAAATTAGGGCCTTAAGAGGTTCCATTTTGGACATGTCACATCTATTTAGGCAGCAACATTTTGAGGCAGAAACTCTTTGTACATGACCTACCATAACAGGTCAAATCTGAACAGGAACTTTTGAGTACTTCTGGAACACAAATAATTGTCAGTCTGGTCCACACTCAACATCAAGATGACACCATGCTCAGAGCAGCTTTGTTAATGTAACAGCTGTCATCTACTGGATTAATTCTAGTAATAGATGCTGGTTTTCAATGGGCAAAATCAGAAGTCTTATGTTGATCTTTCCATCAGATTTAAGGAAGATGAGAAGCACTTTGGTCCTTTACTTACAATCCTCACAGACACCTGCTCATGGAAGTACTTACATGAATTATGGGTATAAAGGGTTACATGAATAGCCTTTTCAGTTAAAAAAGATTTGGCTTTATACAGTGACTTATGCCTTGCATTCACTGAAACTGTAACAGGGGAACCTCATACAGATTTTAATGCTCCCATTTGCTCTGTAACACACATTTTTGGATTAAATCCTTCAGCAAAATTTCCACTAGATTGAGAGGAAAGAAACGTGGTCTGCTTCGGACCACAGGACTCGCCTCTTCCGCTCTGTTTTATTCTTTTTCATGTTTAGTTAGCTCATGCTTTCACGTGGCTAACTACACCATTTATTGCAGGATTTGAACTCATAAAACTGACTTTTTTTTTTACTAGTTTTCATTATTATCGTTGAGCATACTTTAAAGAACCTACTCTCAGTGGGAAGAAGAAGGAAAGGCTGGGGTACAGAACAGGTAGTTGCCCCCCCAGGTTTCCTCCTTGAACATTTAGGCAAACTATAAAATAGCATCAGCTGCTGAAGTAGATTTCAAGCCCCCACAGCTTGCAAGCCAACATGGCCTCAAGTCATCGACCCCAGAAACACATTAAGAGTGATGGTTCCATGCGATGAGTTACTCTGATTTTTGTTTTAAATCTTTAGGCACAACTGTGCTTTCCTTCACTGTCAAACATATCTGTCTTTTCCCACAGTCCAACATTTCTCTCTATTGTAGCCATGGCAAGGAAACATACATTCCAAACACACTCGAGTCCCCTCTCTCCCATATATATAAAACATTGAAATGGAACTGTTCAATATACACACACTGTGAGAAGCCACCCACAGAGCAAGGACCTGCCCTTTACACTTGATATGTGTAAGTCTGCAAGAACAGAACAATTTTTTATATATATATACCTGAACATAAGATACAAAATGCTCTTTGTCTTGTATTTTAAAAGCATTCAATATGAGGCAGCAGGCATGAATAAACTGGACCCCAACTATACTGAGCTGCTGGGGGAGGATCGTTATTTTATTGTATGTTAGCACTTAGGTATTTGCAAAGCCTAAGCGCAGCCAGCCCTGGGCTGGCCCCAAAGCCAGGGGATGGCACAAGGCAGGGAAGGCAGCAAGGACCATGGCCTGCCCTGGGCACCAGCAGTGAAGGAAAGCAGCAGAGAACAAAAGCCCTAAAATTTTGCAGTTCAATAAGCCACAGAGCAAGTTTCCAAACCCAATGCTACGTTTATTTGTACAGCTTTAGCTAACTTGCAGGATAAATCCTGGAAGAAAGACTGTCCATTTATACACTGGGGTAATTACTGTGCTGTCAGTCAGTGCCTGGCCTAGGCGCTCCTGTGCTCAGCCAGTGATGCCTCCTTAACTCAGATGACAAAATACTCCTAAGCAACATGCATTCAGAACCTGACTACTGTCTTCTCACGTCAGCAAGAGTAAGGAGTCTCTGGCAGTCCCTGACAAGCCAGGGTATGCAGGCTGAAGTAAAAGTGAATCAGGCTCTAGAAGTACCCATTTTTCCTTCGACTCAGAGGAAGAGCAACTGGTCATTACCAAAGGTCAGCATGAAATAATACAACTGTTACCCACACCACCTTTCTTGTTCTTAGTGAATACACTCTTTAGGCTCTTTAACTGTTGAATATGGCCATTAACCTTGCTTCCATCTGCAATTAGAATAAGTGCCTTAATTACATGATGAATTGCTGTGTAGACATCAGCTAATACAGTCTTATTCAGCAGAAGGGTGCAGCAAAGTTATTTAACTTGAAAGAAACCACCTTTAAATAGATCTGTCATGCTTGGGAAGGGCAGAAACTTCTATTCCAGAGACAGACACCACAAATTGCGAGCCCAATCCTGTACCTTTCTCCATACCAACAGTCCCCTTGAGCTAATTTTCACTTGCTTGGATAATAAATAAGGACTAAAGGATGAAGGCCTAAATGTTAAAAAGATTGGTTTTCTGACATTTGTTAGATTATGAGAACAGAAAGGCATACAGAAAAAGCTTTCTTTCATGTCTCATGTGCTTTTAGACTTCTGCTCTGGTAGGGTGAAAAAACAAACTCTATGAGGGGGGTTAATACTGTGCTTGTAAAAATCTTAGGGAAGGTTGTTTATCCAAAATCAGCTGTTCCAATTAGGTACTTTGACGCAGTAGATTTTTTTCCATTTGTCTATCTACAAATAAAAGCTTCTTTTAACAAAAACCAAGCCCAAATGTGAATTGATGCATTCCTTAAACCTTAACCAGAGTTAGCCCATTTACAGATAAACCTGACTTGAGTCTGATTTTAAAACTTTATTTTGTTAAAGCAGGTCAGAAAAACATGGATATAAAAGCTTTACCTTTCCAACTAAAAAGCACTGCTGAGTTTCTCAGTGTATTGATTACTACATAAAAAATCATAACTTTCAACCATAAACATAGGCTTTTCCTAGTTGCTTAAACACAATCAGGAATCTGACTGGGAAAGTCAGGGGAAGGTTTCACCATGGACCCAGTTCAACAGCACTGGTTAAAATTTTGCCAAGGACTTTAAAATAAGATGTGACAGGAAAGGCAGGCAACACATGAGCACTGGGAAAGCACATTTCAAAGAATATCTGATAGGGAAGGAGTTGGGTGCCCATCAAATTGTGGTAAGATGTTAAACAGGAATCTGTCTCTCTTACCAGCAATGTGATTACATTAAAGGCAAGTTACAATCACACGTTTTGTCCTGCTAGAACTGTTTTCATAAAAACTACCCTGCTAACATTATCTTAACATAAACCTACCTTTCTCAAAAAGGAAAAAAAGCTACCAAATCTTCTATCAAAAAAAAACAAGAAGAAATTGCTTATAAACACTAACAGAGAGCACAGCAATTTTCAGTTAACCTCCAGACCAAGAGCAATTTATCATGGAGCCGCTAACTTTGCAACTAGACGTGGACATCTTTAATTTTACAAGACACTGCTGCTTTTCATTCTCTCAGGTTGCCTTCATTTTGTCTCAGGTTTTCTAAAAGGAGAGTTCAGAGATGCATTTTCCTTTCTCCTTTATTCCCATACGCAAATATATATTCCTACTTTGTCTTCCAAGACACACGGCTGGACAGTGGTGGGAAATCACCTCCAGCTACAAATAATTCAACTCCTTTGCCAACTTTTAAAAACACTTGATTGTATACAGTACTCAGTAAGAACCTGGCAAGAGATCTAAGTGCAATGTAGCATGTACCATACATATCCTTAGACAAGAGTTTAATCATAAAGATGTTGCTTCCTACCTATCTGCATGACTCTGCCAAAAACAGAGTTGTTGTCCACAGTGCTGCAATTCCATCTTCTATGTCTGAACTGATACTGGCACTCCTTAATGCCCGTCTTTGCACCCTCTCCAATGAACTGCATATGGTCCTGATACAATTGGCAGAGTTTCTTCTGTCCTTGGGAAAGCCCTGCTAGCTGGCTACACAGTGGCTGGGCTCCTATTATATATACCTCTGACATCTGAACAGGGTTCATGGGGTTCATAGGGTTCATCCCTAAAGACCTGCATAAAGAAAGATTTGGATTAATAAAGAGAAGATTCAAAAATGAAGAAAAAAAAAAAGTCTATATATCCCAAACAGAACTATATCTTATACATGAGTATACAACTCCTGGTTTCGCTAACAAGTGAGAAAAACCAAAACAAAGTAAAAAGCATACTTATATATGAAACTTTTGTTTAAAAGACAGTTCAGAAGTTATTAGTTCCCAGCCATGTGATTATCACAGTACATCAGAGACTGAAGTAAGATGCAGACTCAGAAGACTTGCATCTAGACAGTCCTTCACCAACTTAAAAGGACGTAGTAAAAATAACAGAAGTTCCCAACAACTGCAAGGTCGGTAAAATAAATAAAACAAAACCAAAAAAGCCCCCCAAACCCCAACTTCTTTTAACATGCATTTTAGATTTAAGTTTGGATTTTTCAATTTGTCCTATTATAAAGAATCAGGGAAACCTTTAACAAGCCAGAAGTTTGAAACTTGCTACAGACTACTCCTAGCTTCCTCTGAACCACACACAAAAACACGTCAAGTATATTCACTGTAAACAAAAATCAACTTTGTTTTCTTTGTTCTTAAAGTGCTCTTCACATCATATATTTCAATTAAAAAGGGAACATTAACCCAAAAAGGATCATTTGAAGCAGCAGAGAAACACCCATTTAAAGAACTCCCAACATCGTACACCATACAGACAGCTAATTTGCCAAAGCAGAAATTTAAATGTGTTTCTTTGTAACAAAATACACTTATAAACATTGATGTTACAGGAAAGCTCAAACCGAAACTTTAACAAAAGTTTTTACTACCCAAACTATTCTATGATTCTATACTTGTAAATCAGCATTCTTGCTTATATAAGCAAAATTTCTAATCTAAGGGAGTCAAGATGACTCTTAAGAGAGGCAATTCTAGTCATTTAAGGATGATCAAATCCACAGAGAATCTACTGTACAACTTTCTAAAAACTGAATTTCACAACACAAGATGTTGAACATTTACACTATGAGAGAGACCCGTTCGTTTTACTACACAACGTATTACAACTAGAACATTACTCCCCTGCTGTCTCGTTCATGTGGTACTCCCTCTGAAATGAAGTACATACATAAGAAGTAAATAGATATTTAATCAACCAAATCTTCACACCCCCTCTTAAAATCAAGTCGACACAAGATGCTTACCACCAAGAGCTGGCTTCTATTACAACCTGGGTAAAAGAAGAGAAAATGGCCAGAGCCACTACGAGGTACTGAGAAGCCATTGTACTGCCAACTGTCCCCAAAGCACCTCCTTGGATTAATACTGCAGTGGATTTCTAGAAGGGGGAGAGAAAGGATCAGATTGTTTATTGCTTCTCAGACTATTTTCGAGCATTCAAGTTTAAACAACGGAAGTACCCGTGCCCCTTTTAACGTGACTCTGACTCGCCTGCCTCTCTCCCCGCCGATGCTCTGGGGCCAGGCGCACGTCGCGGCTCCCGCTCCACCGGGCAGAACCCACCCCCAACCCCGACACCGCCTTCCCGGGGCGGCCACAGCACCGATCCGCGCCCGTCTGTCCCGAGGCCCCGCTGCTCCCCGCCAACTGCCGGACGGGACGGGGCCGCTGCTCCGGACACGGGAGACCCCGCTCCCCGCCCGGCCACCCCCCTACCCGGGGTTATAGGCGACCCGCGGCCACGGGACGGGCATTACCCCATCGCTCCCCGCTCCGGAGCCAGCACCGTCGACACGAAACGCTCCCGGCCAGCTAAAGGTGCCTTCGGATTGGTAAAGCGAGCCCGAGCGGACGCGGGAGATGCCGGTGCCAAGAGGGGTCGGTACCGCAGGGGGCTCCGGGGGGGCCAGCCGGCTCTCGCACGGTCGTCGCCCTCCCCCTCTGCCCCCTAAAGCATCTCGCTGCAGCCGCCCGCTCTCCGCGATCACCGAGGCAGCCCCGAGCTCCGCTCTGGCGCCGCGGCGACAGCCCCCAGGCCCGGTACCGGCCCGGGGAGGTATCAGGAGCTACAGGGCCGGCTCCGCGTTCAGACCCGACCCCTGCAAGAACCAGGCTGCCTCCTTGGAAGTCAAACGCTTCCCCCGACAGGTCCCGCGATCACCGCCTGCGTCCTCACACGGGACTCTAACGCGCTAACCAGTGCCATTCACTGTTTTTTATTTCCCCTCCCCTCGAAGGAGGGAAAAAAAAAAAAAGAAAAAAAAAAAAAGACGTTTCGACACTTGGGGGCTCCCTATTCATTCTCAAAAAGTCCTCGCTGATGAATTGAAGGTGCTCTTAATTCTAATTTATTTCTGTTTGCGAAGGGTCGGGAGGAGAGGCCGATCGCAGCGCCGCGACGGCGAGCAGGGCTGACGAGGAACCTGCCGGGATACACGCAGAGAAGCAGCGGTCACTCAGACTAGGGTTCCTGCCACCGTGCCGGGGCTAAGCCTCCGCTCGCCCCTGGCCACTTCCTGCGGGTCCAACACCTCCTGCCCGGGGGGTCCCCAAGTCCTCGGTGCTGGGGGGCGTGAGTAGAGCCGGTCTCCCAAAGCAGAACGATCCCGTCCGCTACCGACGGGAGCAATCCCGGGAAAGGTGCGAAAGCAGAGGGCATATTTAGCTAGGGACGAGGCAAAGCAAGGAGTGCGAGGAGCTCGCTGGGGCACACAAAAGCCAAAGTTCTGGGGCTTTTCTTTAATCTGTTAATTCTTAAAAATAATAACAACAATAATAAAGAAATGTCGCGGAACTGCCCGAGCCCTGAGGAGGGACACAATGGTGCTCAAGCGGGACACCAACAGACGTGCAGCCGCCAAGCTGCCCCGGTGGGGTGGATGACCGGGGCTCGCCGGGCGCGGAATAAGCCGGTTGCCGGGGCACGGCGAGGAGGGCAGCGGTGCCCCCGCTGCAAGACCCGGACGGCGGGGGCAAAGCCCCCCTGCCCCGTTCAAAGGGCCCGGGTGTCCCCCCGGGACTGGCAGTCGCCAGCGCTGCATCCGGCCCGAGCCACGGTCCTGAAGCCCCCGGGGAGCTGTGCCGCACCGCTCCCAACAGGGGGCAGCCTTGGCCGCCGCAGCGCCGGGAGGCGGCGGAGACGGGGTGGCTGCTGCCCCTCCGACGGCACCTCCCGCCCTTCATCACCGCTGTTATCGCCCTCCTCGTCCTCCTGCCACAGCGCTGCGTGGCGCGGCGGGAGGAGGCACCTGCGGATGGGGGCCCAGCCCCTCCAGCCCTTCCCTTCTCCACGCAGCAGCTGACAGTCTGCCATCAAAACCAAAACAAAACTATAAAAGAAAAAAAAAACCCACAACCAAACCGTCTTGCCGGCAGCACGGGCTATCAGGAGTGTAAGGCACCGTTTTCAACTTTGTAGGGCCGCGGAGATTGGTTTTTGGTATTTAATGCACCCCATGCGGAGCCCGCGCTCTTTGCTGAGATGAAAAGGGACGCTTTTACAGATCCTGCAGCTGCGGGATCGCCTGTGATCCTGTTTTACACAGGGTGTCTGGAAAGCCTGCGAAGGCATCTGGTTTTCTAGAAGCACTACCTGCGGGAAGGCGGCATCCAGAGCTCCGGCTCCGGGGGGCTGTAAACCCCGGCGGCCTCCGCGGGCGGCTGCGCGGCTCCGCGGTGAACTCCCCGGCCGGCCCCGGCTTCCCGCTGCGGCTTTACATCCATCTGGGACGGGCGGAGCCCAGGTTTCACGTTTGCAGAGAAAGGCACCCGCTGGGTCCCCCAGCCCGGCTCTCTCCCACCGGAGAGACAGCAGGGGAGTCCCGGGGGGGGCCAGGGCGCACCTCCGTCCTTCCCCCTCCACGCCAGCCCGGGCGGGGGAAGAGCCTCGCTCCCCGGCCCAGCTGAACTCTCAGTGACCCGCCGAGCGCAACCGATTTAGTATGCAATTGCCAATTAAAAACAAACAAACAAACAACGAAAAGCCAACAGCCTTTCCAACATGGAGTCTTCGCAGCGCCAAGGGGGACCCCAAAGACCGCGCTCCTCCTCGCTGACCCAGGCGGGACCCTCTGCAGATGCAGAGTGATAATCTCCAGAAACTTAGAATAAAATTAAAAAGGACGGGGATGGGGGGGGGGGGGGATCTGACTCCAGGTCCTCCGCTGGCCCCCAGCCAGCTCTCCTTAAAGGTACAGGCCACCATTAGCGCCGACGCCGAACTCCTCCATAGCAATCCTCCTCGGGAAAGTTTGGGAAGTTTGGGAAGTTGTCTTTAAACTCCCGTGGGGAGCCGCTGCCAGAAAGATGCACCGGGACGCGGCGGGCAGAGCGAGCCCAGCAAGTGTCCCTGCGGCGGGCAGCCTCTCTTCGGGGGTTGGGGGGGTGAGGGGGGTCGCAAAGCGCAGGGAAAAAGGAAATAAAAGGTTTTTTTTTCAAGCGGGGAGCAGCGCTCTCCGTAGTGGGTGAGAGCGGAGAGGTGGGAGCACCCAGCGGCAGCCCGGAGAGGAGAGGGCGGCCCGGGACCAGCGACCGCGCAGGGCCGCGCCCCGCGGAGGGGCAGCCCACCCTGAGCGCCCACGGCGATAGCGCCCCGCAGCGCTGAGCACCCATGCCCAGCGCGGACTCACCTCCATTGCCGCGGGATCACCGAGCGAGAGCAGCCAAGTAATCCAAGTAGAGCAGGAGGGGAAAGGGCGAGGCGAAAATAAAATCCTGGATCGCAGGAGCCGAGCGGTATCCTCCCGGGTAGCGGGCGGCGGCGGCGGCTGCCGGGGGAGCGCGGGGGCCCGCGGGGCTGCCGGGGGGCGACGGGCGAGTGGTCGCTCTGTCCGGCTCAGGCTGAGCGTGTCCGACTGCGGAGCGGGGCACCAGTGTAGCCTTCTTTCCAAGGTCCATCAGCAATCACAGTAATTAGGGCTTTCCACCACCAGAAGAAGGAGGCGAAAAAAAAAAACCCAGGGAAAAAAAAAAAAAAGCCAACCCAAGACACGCACACAGCGCCCGTGGGCGTGATTGTGCGGAAGCAAATAAAAATCTTCACAAGCGGCAGCGAAAGCGCCGCGGGCGATGATCCGTCCCACCAGCCCAGGTGGTGCCGCCGCGGGGCTCCCCGCGCTCCCACTCGGCTCCCGGCAGCGCTCCGACCGCCGGCGCGGCCTCTCCGCGGTTGGGCGCGGGGGACGAGAGGAGCCGAGCGGGCGCAGGGCTCTCCCCCTGCCCGTCCCCCTTCACTTGCCTACAGGCTGGGCGGCGCGGAGCCGGGCGTCCGCGGCTGCAGAGCCATCCTGGGACTGGCTCCCTCCATTTTACACACAGAAGAAAAAGCCCAACAGAAAAAGAAGTTTCTGCACAACCGGGGAAGGGGGAGGGGGGGCCTTGTGCACGCGTGTGTCTGTCTTAGGGGGCGACTGATCCTGCAAGGCGAGCAGGGGCAGGGGGAGGGGAGAAGTCCGGGGCTTCAGGAGCTGCAGCTCCCCCAATCCATCGCTGGTGAAGGCGCCCAGCGCCGAAGAGCAAGTTACGCGCGGGACAGCAAGCCGGAGTAGACGGCGTCGCGCCGCAGCGGACCCGTCCTCCTCGGAGCTCTGCCCCTGCCTCTCCCCCGCTCCTCTCCACCGCTGCTTAAAACTGTTACCGAGGAAAAAAAAAAAAGAAGAAAAAAGGGGAAAAAAAAAAGTTGCAGAGCCAACGGCAGCTGAAAAACTTTCTCCGCAGCGCATGCGCCCGGAGCCGACCTATTGCAGACTGGGCTGCATTTTAAAGCTGTACGGCAGCGAGCGGGACCCCGGTGTAGCCCCGTGGCGGATGGGGGGGGCGGACGGGCTCCGCAGCCGCTGCGCGTTCTTTGGGACCCGGGAGCGCGCCCGCGGGGACCCGCAAAGCTGGGCCCGTCTGGGTTTCCAAGCCCGGTCTGATACCCCTTGAACACAAGCTCGTCCCGCAGCGCGGTGCCCGCCCCGAGCGGCGGGATGCGTGCGGGGCTGCGCGCCCGCCCCGCGCCCCCAGCACCCCGGCTGTGTCCTGGGGCGGGGACACACACACGGAAATCGGCCCCCCGGGGGCTCCCCCCTCGCATACATGTGCGGCGCACATGGCCGGGCGGAGGGGGTCGCTCCGATATTCCAGGCGGGTGGCTCGTTTGACAAGTCCCGTCCGTCGCCAGCTCAGGGACGCGGCAGGCGGCTGTGTGCGCCGCTCGCCAAGCGGCGGGGGACGAGCGGCTCAGCCAGCCGTGTCCCTCGTTCTCCAGCATCCTTTTTTTTTTTTTTCCGCTGTAAATTTAGCAAGTTGTTGACAAAACTTTGGGTTACATCATGTAAGACCCAGTGAGAGCTACAGGCGAGGACAGCTTCGCGGACCCTTTGTACTTCAGAGTGTTTTCCCCGCTCTGCAGCCCCCAGCCAAAGGGGTTTTATTGCGTCTCTCACATCTCGCATGCACCCAAGTGCAGGAAATGGGAGCGTTCCCCCAGCCAGGCCATAACTGCATTTTTTCCTTTGTGCCCGCCTGCGACTGCAGGTCCAGGGGGGATGCAGGGGAGGGGGCACGTTATCAAAGCCGCCCTGGGAGATCCAGACAGGCTGCGAGTGCAGCTCCGCTATCAATAAATGCATTCACTCCTTCCAAATCATTCCAGTGCGAATAAAATCTCTTCAGAAGCCCAACGGGGGGAAAGGCACATCTCAGCCGGCCTGAGCCCGCTGCCACTGGTAGCGCCCCGACGGGACGGTGCCCGCCAGGTAAGCGCAGATCTCCCGGCGTCAGCGATCGCCGCATGTCCCCACCCCGACCGCCGAGCCACCCTCCCTGCTCTGCCTCCCCGCCAGGCCCGCCGCCGCATCGGGGGGGAGCTGCGCTGGAGCGGGCACCGGTTCGGGGAGCCGAGGAGCGGGCAGCTGAGGCCGCGGATACGGAGCGGGGCGTTCCACTGCCTAACGCGGCGGTAGAGGCGGCTGGAGTCCCCCGGGACCCTGCCCAGTACCCCCGGCGACACCTGCCCTCCCGTACGGGACCCGGGGCCGCAGCATGGCTCCCCGCACGTTTATTTACTCCCTAATATCCGAGGAGCTTTTCCATTAAGCATCCTCCCAGCCTGGGCTGCGGGTCACTCCCCGGGACGGCTGGTGAGGAATTTATAAATTAGGTGTAGCACCAAGTCCGGGGAGGGGGGAGAGGAATAAAGGGGTTGTTCGTTCCTTTTAGGAAGACCAACCTTAGTTTTATGCCTAGTAAATAATATTTTATTGCCTTTGGTTTACTGTGGCATTTCAATTATCCCCTTTAGGAGTCTGCAAACTGCGTGGGTTAAAGGTCATTTCTCAAATCACTAGAATTAGTAAAGAATAGCAGAAAACTGTAAAAAGGGGAGGAGCTGCGCAGTAAACCAGGAAAGATCGCCTGAAATAAACTAATAAAGAGCCCCGAGCTGTTTACCTCTCGCATTGGTATTCCCGAATGATGTTTATCATCATGTAATTGCATAATGACATCGAGCACAGGAAAACGCCCAACTCGGGATGATCAATACAGGCAGGCGAGCAGGCAGGGCTGCGAGCAGAGCTTGGCAAGAGGCAAAGCCAACTCAGACCATTCTCCTAGCCGGGATTCCTAGTCGTTGCTTTTAGAAAGAAAACTGAACAGGGAATTTATAAATCACGGGCAAATTTTCAAGCTGTGGCTCATGGAAGTGGAAATAAAGGGCAGAAATCCAAACATCCTGCAAGGCTTTAAGAATTTTAATTTCGCCTCGCTATTTAAAACAGCTGGGTGAAGCTGGAGGGGGCAGGAGGGAGTAGTGACAATGTTACAGCATTCGTGGTGCCCAAGCTTTTGTTTTCCAGGTTTGCTGGAGATGGAGCTCTTAAATTAACCGGACAGTTGATCTGGTATGCTGTACTGCCAACGTCGAAGTGGGCTTTGGAGGCAAAAAATAAGTGCTCAGAGTGATATAATAGGAAGTGCAAAGATACTGTTGAATGTCCAGACTGCAGAACTGTACAGCAACAATGCAGGGTTTTAGAGATGAAGGTCTGCTATGGCTCTTCAATTCTCTGCAAGACAGAAATAATTTTTGGTCTTTTAGATGAGTTCCTGCCATTTTTCTGCAGAGTACTGCATTTTAACAAAGGGGTTGTCACATCTACGTATTGCACACGTGTTCATTTTAACATGTGCTGTGTGATTTCTGTCATTGCACCTTGGCCAATTTTATATATGCAGTCAGAGGCTGATAGGCAGTTTTTCATCATGAAGAATCTGTTTGGGAAGCAGAACTTTTGAGGAAAGAAGGTATTTTCCTATATGTCTTTTTAGTCCATCATGGCATTTGAATATATGATACAGAAATTATTACACATACTGCACTGAAATTTTGTGAAGCCAAAGCCCATCTGCAGCTGCTTTGGTGTTACTATGCATAGTGTATCTGCATGTATCCTTTTTTTAGGTGAGGGCCATATACATTGCCATAATGACCATTTGACAGAGGAGATATGTCATGTTACTTTGAACATGCAACCTGCATTCTGCCCACCAGCACATCTGCTACATGGATGACTTTTTATTTTAAGCTCTGAGGTACTTAGATGTATTTGCCTTGAAATACATGCACTTTCCTAAGGCTGTTTTCTTTCCTAAAACATGCTCTTGCTTTCTTCTACAGACCACCCTGTTATCTGAAAGATGGCTAAACTACAAAAGAAATGCCAAAGATGACAATTTTATGCCAAATCTTGCAATGATTTTTATTTTCCTATATCCTTAGCCACTAGAGGCAAGAAACAGCATGGGAAGCTCTCTCTTTCTGAATAACCATTTTATATTTTTAGCTTGCCTAACTGCTGAAGAAATTTTGACAAGTTAGGAGAGTACAAGACCAAGAAAAAGGGTATGGATATCCATCATGTTCCCCCCCCTGCTCTGTCCCCTTCCCCTTCCTCAAATCCCCAAATCATGATGATGAAAGAAGCCAGGATATTTGGGAGCAGCAATAACCACTAGAGAGGAAGAAATAGAGTATAGATTAGCATCCATCTTTACCAGGTGAAGACAAATTTTAGATGCAAATAAGAAGCAGAAGGCAAGAGGGGAAAGCTTACAGCGTAATGGAGTGTCACAGATTCTAGTAAATACACCAATCTACAAACTGTGAAGTCTGTAGAAAAAAAATATGCTGTTTTATATTTGAATTGATGATAACTATACAGATTTGTTATTGCTAGTAATGAACTGCACAACAAATAGCCCACTCAAAGCACACAGTATTTTTCTACATTATCAATGGGAGACAGACAGTTGTGGACTCATTTTTAATGTGCAAAACACAGGTGAGTTATTTTCATTCCCTCCTACTGAGATCTGCTAGACCTTGCTGCCATTGCGGGTATCACAGCCCAGGTACAACATGTGTATGTGATGGGTCATGTAGTAAAATAGATAGGAAATTCTTCACAAAAATGAGAAGTAGCTCTAAAAACTGTTGCACCAGGATGCCCACTGGGTGAAAGACCGTGAAAGGGGAGCTTCTGACATTTTTTAGTTTTCTCTCTGGAATAGCAAGGGTGTTGAACTGACTTATCAGAGGGATAACTTTATGCCCCCAGAAGCGTTTGCTGTTTTCTCCTCTCTCCTGCCTCTCTTTGGGGCAGGTGTCCTTCTCCTCGCACCTCGTGCCTTTGTAAACTGTGAGTCTCTATCTCGGTGATACTCTCCCATCTGCATCTTGGCCATCCCCCTGCTGCCACCATATGTCATTGGAATGTTTCAAGTAGTGAGTCTGGTTTACTTAAAGAATAGTGCTTTTAGAGGAATAATACTTTGCTTTGTTTCCATTAGGACCTTAAAAAAAACGTTTATGGGAGGAAAAATAAACAATCCCCCCGCCACTCCTTAACAACAGAGTACTTTCCCTCTGCTAATGCTACCAGTTCCTTCTTTCACTGAGGCCAAAGGCACCTCCCATAAAATCTGGAGGGCTCTTATATGTTTCTTCTGAGTGGCCTGAACATAACTCTCCCCAATATGCACACACACAAAGGCACACAGAGTTCATTTTCCAGAGATGACCAGGCAGGGAGCTTTGTCATACCGACCACAGACCAGCACAGTCTCTTGGTTCTTCCTCAGAGAGCCACAGAACAGTTGAAGCATGGAAGGCCATAGCTACAGAGATAACAGGGAAAGGACCGGACAAGGCTTTTTTTCCCACAGCCTGCCTGTATGGTTCACGTGTAACAGCCCTTAGCAGCCCCATTTTCACATGCAGGTCTCTGCCTTGCAGCTGTGCTTCAGGTTCCCAACTGCAGCAGCAGAGAGGGCAGAAGCAGCTCAGCACCAGCTGTAAGGGTGACGGATCACACCGGGGTGATCTCTGCTCTTTAAACAGACATCCCTGTAGGCAGACTGCTGTTGCTCTCCATTTACACTGCTAAAACACCCCAGGCAGCCTGAGATGTGGTTTGGGGCTGTGCATATGGTGTGGGGTGGTACGTCACCCCACTTGTTTCACCGTCCTCCTCGGACTGTATAAAATGGTACTCCTGTTTTAAGAAATTCTTTAATCCCATTTTCTGCCTGGCATATCTTCATGGGT